CACCTTTATTATTTTTATAAATAACACAAGGCAGTGAACATACCTAATACTCATTTCTCCTCCTATTTTCCCCACAATAAGAGCCCCATGAGGTGAGTTGGGCTGAGAGAGAGTGACTAGCCCAAGGTCACCCAGCCACCTTTCATACCTAAGGCGGGAACTAGAACTCACTGTTTTCAAGGACAGTCCCATGTTCACTGCATGCAATAGTTCAAACAGGAAGTTACTAAGCACGGATGATTGTTTTAAGGGCCACCCACTTCAGGAAAGGCTGCAAATGGTGCACCAGATGAATTTGTGCAAAGCCATGGGTGCACTTTGCTTGTTCAGCAAGACCTGAGAGTCCAGGAACATCCTCAAACTACATATATGTTCTCCCTGAGAAAGTGTAATGCCACTGAGACTTAAAGCTGAACATTCACTGGAAATAGAAGTTCCTTGAACTCAAAGCCACTCAGTCTTGCTAGGAATAAGCCTGAGCTTCTTACTACTCCTCTAGAACAGCTTCCTCGCACTGGGACAGGACTTCAACAACATTGCCTGTTCATTGCAAGGTTGAGACGTAAAGCTGGATATCATCCCTGTCCTGTAGCTTCATATATAAATTAAATGAAAAGTGGGAGAGTATCAGGTCCTGAGGAAACCGCAAGGCAAGGGCCTCAGGCTTGATCTCTTCTACCAACACTGACTAAACCTGAACCTGGACAAAAGAGAATAACCAATCTAACATAGTGCCTCCCACATTTAAATCCTGGAAGAAATCCAGCAGAATACCATGATTAATGGTACTAAAAGCCACTGAGAGATCAACCTTGAGGACCAGGAAACTGATACTACTATCCTGGTCCTACCAGAGGTCATCCATGAGTGTAATCTGTTCTGCTTCACTACTGTACCCAGGCCTAAAGACAGACTTGAAAAGAGTCTGGATAATCTGTTTTCTCAGGGCCCACTGGAGTTGCAGTAGATAATAGATGCTCTGCTTGTAAGGAATTTTTTTATTGCAGTCCTGCTAAGAAAGTTCGCAGAGATGTAAGCCAAACATGCTTTGTTGGCTATGACAAATTTTATTAAGAGTATCTTACTTTGGTTGCAATCACCTTAGCTGCCACTGCTTCACGTCTTTCTCCTCTGCCTTTTCGTACCTCCTTCCTCATTTACCCTTTACTTTTTCCAATATGAGCTATCGTGTACTTAATATATTCTGGATTTTAAATTTTAATCTGTTGCCATAGTTGAGCAATTGTGTTGTAGCTTAACTATGCAACTATTTAAAAAAAAACAGACACAAAGTAAGCCTACAAGCAAATAGAAAAAGCACAAAATCATAATTGGCTTTCCTTCAGGAACAGTAATTTCGATTCATAATATTTTATATTTTAGCTTAGATTTCACATTGTTGGGATTTTTCTATAGTTATTGGACAAACAAACAAAAAAAGCTGAAACTGTATGAATCAATTAGCAGCTTTTATTGGCCCAGGTGCCAATTCACATATTGCTTTTGTTAAATCACTTTATTTCTGCCAGCCTGAGTTGAATGTACTCATAGAAGCTTGTCATCAGCAATCTTTCTTTCTTTCTTTCTTTCTTTCTTTCTTTCTTTCTTTCTTTCTTTCTTTCTTTCTTTCTTTCTTTCTTTCTTTCTTTCTTTCTTTCTTTCTTTCTTGTAATGGAAAGAAGTCTTATTTGATTTCCTTACAAATTTATTTCTGCACAAGCTTTATCAATTTCCCTCCTTTTTCAGAAGGATTCTTTTCCTGATATATCACTTTTTCCCCAAATTATTTTAAAAGTTGAGGAGAAATTCTAATCACTGTAGTTATTGAATAGGTACTAAATTTATGCTAAGGTCAGGATACTGTTTTTTAAATCCTAATTGAAAAAGACCACATTACATGTGAGTTAATTAGAAAAACTGGGAATATAATATGCCAAGAACTTCCAGCTGTGCAGCTCTACTTTGTCATTCTTGTCCATCTGTTCCTTCTCATGCTCTAATTTTTTTTTTACCTCCATTGTCATGTACTAGATTATGGAAATATGTTTTAGAATATTTATGGGATAGTTGGTTACTTTACTACACTGAACATTCAAAATGAATTGATTCATATTCACATAATGCTAGGAAACATTGCACTCACAAATGCATACACACAAAATGTAGAGTAAGAAAGTGAATGAGGCAGTAGAAGGAAGGGACTGCGTGATTTTATCCAAAGTCAACAGTTATGTTATTAGATCAGCAGGGATTATTGTCCCCAAATCTCTGGAAAAATGATACAAGGAAAGTTATTAATTTCTCCATGATTGATTTCATGCATAAATGTGTGCTATAGATACTCTCAAATGAGCACTTAAGTGTACCTTAATTTGCCTGTGTTTTTGTGTTTTTCCTTTTCCACATCTAAAGTGTACATACTGAATCCTGTAGCATACCACAAATAAGGGGCTTATGGCACAATTGCTCCCTATCTGTCAACACCAACTGAAAGAAAGGAGGAGAACCACCACAAAACAGTGCTTTCCTATCCTCAAAGGCAGTCCAAAACGATACTGTGGTCAACAGTAACAAAAGCCACCAAGAGATCAAGCAGACCTAGGATGGACACAACACCCCATTCCAGCTCCACCACAGGTTGTCAGCAGGTGCAACCAATGCTGTCTTTGTACTAAACCCCAGGCTGAAACCCAACTGAAAAAGCTCTAAATAATATGCTTCCTCTGGAATGTCCTGGAGGAGAAACCTGGCTACTCTGTCTACCACATTATCTAAAAAGGAAAGTTTGGAGACTATAGGGTAATTGTCCAGGACTTTGGGGTCCAGTGATGGCTTCTTAAGGAGAGGGCTCCTTCAAGGCTGATGGCACCATCCCCTCACTCAAAGTAGCCACTACCACTGCATGGACCCAATCACAGGTCATTTCCCAGACAGCTTTACCATCTAGGAGGGACCTGTATCTAACAGGCAGGTGGCTGAACCTACAGAATGAAGGACCCTCTTCACTTCCTAAGGAGTCACATAATCAAACTCACTCCAAATAACCCCACAGGAGTTTTGGGCACCTCAGCTTGAGCTGTCCAGTTGGAATCCAACTCTGATTGAATCTGAGTGACTATCTGCTAGATTGTAAGAATATTCCTCATAGCAGCCCTGCAGATGGTCATGCAGGGGTCTTTGGGTGGGGACCAGCAGACACAATAAGGATGTGGACCTCTAAACCTTATCACCATGATGTAATCCCTAACATGGCTTTCTATTTGTACTCAGTCAGATTCACTTTTTGTCATTTCTCAAATGGCACCTCATGCCCCTCTTCCTGCATTTCATCTCCCAGAGCTCCTCAGAGAACCAAGGTGCACCCTGAGATTGGCACAAGGTTAGAGACCACATAGGGGCAGACCAGTCTAAGGCCCTTACTGCATTCCAATTCCAAGCTGCAACTAGGATCTCAGCCAAACTGTGCATCAGTCCCTTGGGGGAAACCCCAAGTTCCTTCTGGAATCCAACCAAGTTCATCAGTTATCTGGGGTGGGCTGATCTAACAGGCCTTATCCCCCTATGGAGGGGGTGGCACCAGAGGGCCAAAAAGCAGTCAGAAAGTGTATGGTAATGGACCAATGGCAATGGCCTCCAAAACCCACATCATGTCTCAACTACCCCAGGTTACAAACCGAGTCTAATATGTGACTTCTGTATGACTTGGACAATCCATGGAGGCTATGGCATTTGTGTAAGCTTTGTGCATCAATGATAAAATATTTAATATTATACTGTATTTAAATAATTTGCATTCATTGCATTATGCTGAAAACCATAGTCCCCCATTCTCTGTAATGCTCACTTGAGATTTTGCAGATGTACCTCATCAGTTACATTTATCTAAATAACACTAGGTGCCTAGATAGCCTCACAGCACTTGGTCCATGGCAGTCAGCCAAAGCACTGTGCTGAATCTATTCCAAAAGCAAGTCTGTTAACAAGATATAACCATTTTGTGTGCATTTATTATGAGGAACATCACAACATTTGTTCTATTTCCATATGTAAGTAAGTTTCTGCTAGGCCTATTTTATTGAAATATATCTCAGCAAGGTTACCAAAAAAAGGTGCTCAGTTCCAGACAGGAATATTGTTTACTCTGTAATAGTGGATTAATGGTACCCTTTAAATAAACACAGACTGTGACAATTTTTTTTTTTTAGCTACTGGAACCTCAGTGTAACCTGTGGGAATCAGGTTACACTGTCCATCAGATCCAACTCAAGTTTATACCTTTTTGTGTACAGCGTATGATACTGGGTTTGTACAACTTGGGTGTGATGTTCTATTATAAAACTATTTTACTTTTAATGGGCTTGAATGTGCTTATACCATCTTTGGACACAGGTATAGCATAATCCAATACTTTTTCAGTTTACTTTTGGTGGTCTCTGTGACAAGCTCTGTAGAGCACAAGTTTTTCATGTAATTTCAAATGAGTGTCAGCTTCCTCAGCCAGTCATGACCGTATAGTGTTGATCTATCAGTTTTCACAACTTACAACTCCAACATACCTTGCTGGTTATGTATTTTACAGTTACAAGTATCACTCCAATGAAAAGGATCTTTTTTTCCTATAATTCTTTATGTGTAGCAAATGGTTTGTTTTTCCTTGAATGACAGGCTCTCTTGATATGACCCACTCACCCACAATTTTCTGCAGGTTTCTCCTTTAAATATGCACTGAGCTGGTGTGTCTAATCTTCTGCCACAATGAAAGCACAGTTCATTTTGACTTGTTGCTGTCTGTCTGTATCTTCTTGCAACCTTATTTAAATTTGTGCTTATTCCCTAACTGCAGCTCTACAATAGCAACAGTTTCTATGGAGATCGTAATTTAAAATGTTCTCTTCAGTGTTAAATCTGCCTCCATTAAGAATCTTTTCTGAATGTGTTCTTTTATAGTTCCACAGACATCATTGAATCATTTGACCTTTCATCACCTTTTTATTTTTCAGATATAATTTTAAGTTCAATTTTAAGTGCAAACCCTGCAGAAGATTCTTCAATCAATAGTGTGTCTAGTACCCAATATTCCTATATTATTTTTACTAATTTTGTAAAGCTGAATTGTGATGGGTTTTGGGGGGCAGTTAAACATGTTATTAAACTATGCGTTGTCCCTTTTAATGTTCAATAAACGGGCATCTTTTTTCTGCAACTATCTCATTTGCCTCAAAAATGTGTTCAAGTCTCTCGGTATATAATGTCCAGTCATGTATAGTATAATCATACATATTCATCTTCTCAATAAAGCTAGCTATCCTGCTGTGATCTTTTCCCCTTTGCCTTTACTTGCTGTGAATGCTTCAGTTGTTTGTTTTTGACTGCCCATTCCCTTCATGAGAGAAGGCTTGAAACACTTCATTTTCTTTCTGTCTCTTTTTTTTTAGATCCCACATTTGTCATAGCAGTTGTGTCCTTTCTACTTACCAAACAAAAGTTTCTAGAGTCAGGACTTTTTTTTTATGCTGCTTTTTTTACTAAAACTTCTAGAAAACTAACTTCAGTAAGTCTGCAGAAATTAATACATGCTGGCAGTTCAAGGCAATAGAACAACAACAGTAGATCACAGAAGCATCAATCTTAATCAATCAATATAACAACCCACATTTTGTTTTGTCTTCTACCAGAATTTCACAGAAGACTTTGTTAAATGATTTGCTGGAGTCAGGATATTCTATGTTCGCTGCATTTCCATGTTCAACTAAACCATTCCTTCTATAAAAAAATAAAATTGGGTTGTTTGGCATGACTTACTCTTGATAAACCCTTGCTGGATCCTGCCAAGCAATGCATTCTTTCTAAATATTTACAAACCTTAATAATAATTAAGTTTAATCATCTTTATCAGAATTTTGTCCAGAATCACATCAGTTAGCAAGAGTGTTGTTTCCTCTTTTTTCTAAAGAGAAGAAAAACATTTGTCCTTTTCCAGTCCTCAAGCACTAAACCCATCCTCCATGATTTCTCAAAGATCATGAAAATAAATTCTGAGATGACATTTGCAAGCTTGTTTAAGAATCTTGGATGCAATTGGCCTGGTCCTGGAGACTAAAACTTGTTCTTGGTAGCCAGGTACAACCTAGTAATTTCTTTACCTATTTTGGTTGCAATTCCAACCGGCTCATATGTACAGTATTTGAACATAGTTGCTGTTTGTGGAGAAGACCAAAGCAGAGTAGCAGTTGAGAAAATGTGTCATCTCCCCATTACCTGTTATTGTCCTTTATTTATCTTCTTTGTTTTTGTCAAATCAAGTTATTGTCCTAAGGTATGCCACATATATTGTTCTATTCAGAAAAGTAATAACAATAGACTGCATTGTTATTGCAAAATACTGTATATTCTAAGTAGTTTTGCATTGGAAGTAAGCTATACCACTTCCTGAATTGACTTTTCAGTTTTCCTGGATTAACTTTTCTGAGTAATCCTTTGATATTAATCACTATACACAGTGTTAATGTCTATTGTGTGGACAGAGCAGCTTTAGGGATCAAAGTTGCTGCTGGACTCTATCTAGTGTCCAGGTATCTATGTGGAAGTACAAATAATTTAATCAAGTTGATCTTTTCCTGAAATCTTACTCCAAGGGGTTTTCCATCAAGATGTTTATGTAATCTTAGGTATTCGTTGGCAAATTACATCTGAAAGGAGACCTTAATTTCCTTGTTACTTACTTCACCTTTAAAGGCTACTGAGGTGAGCCATTGGACCAACAGCAATGGTTAATAAACCAGGTTATGTCTAAGTGTGTTGTGTGAATGAAATAAAGGAAAAGAAAACAAATGGATGTTTGTGTCAAATGTGGACTTCAAACTTCTCAGTGTTATTCCTTGGCGGTTACTCTTTTGAAGGTATGCCTATTATTATTTACTTCCCTTCTTTCTCTGGAGCATCAATGGATAGCATGCAAAGCACCTTTTTATTCTGTTGCCCTTTCCCATTCATAAAAAGTTTCATTGAAGGTTTGTAAGACTTCTTGGTCTATGTTTCTATTGATAAAATAATTGGATGTTTGTGTCAAATGTGGACTTCAAACTTCTCAGTGTTATTCCTTGGCGGTTACTCTTTTGAAGGTATGCCTATTATTATTTACTTCCCTTCTTTCTCTGGAGCATCAATGGATAGCATGCAAAGCACCTTTTTATTCTGTTGCCCTTTCCCATTCATAAAAAGTTTCATTGAAGGTTTGTAAGATTTCTTGTTCTATGTTTCTATTGATAAAATAATCCTATTATTTAGAAAATGCAAATAGCATAACAATGAAACCTGGTTTAAGATGACAGTATAAAATCATTCTGATTTTCATTTATGCTTCAAAAATCCAGGAAACTGGAAAATAAGATCAAGATCTCACATGCCTTCCATCAAAGCTGTAAAGAATTTTCTGAACCTTGTAAATTACTATGGATTTAGAAGTCAGGGCCCCTGACCTAGAATTTATCTTAGTCATGCAAGAAAGCATGACTCTCAAACATTTTGTTAATCACTATTGCCAATAATCTATAAAAAAATTCAGTAGTAGAAGTTTATTTTCTAATGCTAATAATGTGAATTATGTCAGTATGCATCAAGAAAAGATCTATTGATTGGAAGTGATGGAAGAGAAACTGTGGACCTGATTAATGTCTTTTTGCATAATTTCTATAGTATGAGAAACTGGCATAGTGGGAATTATGTCAATACACATTAGGCAAAATTCTTTTGGTATATCTATAGGAAGATATCATAGATGAATTGTGTACCTCTTGAATATATTAACTGGAACTTGGTGAAGTACTGGGTCTTCTATAAATTCATTTAATCATAGTTTCATCAAGGAAAAAGGAAATTAAGAAAAAGGAAATCAAAAATTTCATCAAGGAAATCTTTTAAACAAATGTCTATCAAGTCACTGTATAAACTAAACCTCTTCGATGTCTACCTGGCAACATCCCAGCCCAAAATGTACCTAAAAAAACAGTGCAAATTGTGGGCAAAAGAATTATTCTAAATTCATAATAGCGTACAAAGCTAGCATGTCTCTAAAATTTATGTTGTGTGGCTACTAAGCTCTTATTTACCAATTTCCTGGAGTTCTGAAAAACAAATATAAATTGGAATGATCTCATACTTTTACCTTAAACTAAAATTCTTTTAAAATTGTTAAATACAGCTTAGAATGATTTGTTCCTAAAAACTGACATTATCTCTTGTTGAGTATTTTGAATTCTACATTTGAAGCTATGATTTTGTCACTGAAAATTAGCTTAAAATAATTCACTCAATATAAGCTACTGTAAATGTGCATTGTCAACTATGAGAAAATGTAATTTTAATGTGAGAAGAGAACTTATTGATGTAGTGTCTTCAGCAATTGTATGACAACCTTTGAGGGTAAGAGTCATGTTAATTATGATGTACAACTTTTTAGGAGTGAGGACTGAGAATACTGTGTGAAATTATAAAATGGACAAACATTTCAGAGAAAGCAACTGGACTAAACATGACACTGAATACATTACAGGATTGTGCCATGACTATGATGTGCATATTTCTTTTTTTTTTCCTCCACTGACATTGTATCAGCATAGAATTGTCAATTGTGGTTGACAGTAAGTATGGGGTAATGAATGCTGTTTCATTCTGTTCAGAGGCAAATCATAATTGATTTACTATGATATTTTTGTGAAGCATTTAGAGCATTTGAACTATGATGATTGCTACTAGGAGTGTGCATAAAGTGAAAATTGCATTTTGTTCCCTGGACAGACCTACTTTACTCTTGGTCAGAAGTTCAACCAGTCCATCCTAGGAAGATTTTGGTCTGACTGAAGTCAAACCCAGATCAGTTAGGTTTATCTGGGTTTTGACTGAATCAAATTGAAACACTTCTTAAGAAATAAGTATAGCAAGGCAGGTGCACCTTACTCCTCTCTCCTGTCTTCCTTCATATGGCTGTGTGCCAGACCAGCCAGAAACCTTCCCCATATTTTCTTTCCTTACCTGCTCTTTGTTGTTGTTGCTGTGCTTGAGTTCAAGGACATCAAGAATCACCTGATTTTCCCTGTGCTTTCCTGCCCTACCACTGCCCCTCATCCCACTAATGTACCACTATAACTTACCTATTCTATATTTCCATCATGTAAGTTCTTTCCTTGCCACTGCCTAATGCCTACCAGCTACATCTGTCAACTCTGTCACCCTAGTGTGCCACTTCTTTTGTCATACTGTCTCCCATCCCAGAGCACTTCTACTAGAATATGCGTGTTCCTGGTCCATGCATGGCCAAAGCACATATATTTCACTCCAGGCATGGACTATCTGATATTGCCTGATCTGTGCATGGAACACTTCCTGCATGGAATGCTTTGCACATCCCTTGCTCCTACAGTGAAAACAGAGCTAATTTCCTTGAAATGTTATCAAGAAATGTAGTTGAGAGATTAAATAAACACTTAAATAATTTGGTAATTTAATTGCAATCTACAGAAATATGATCTTCACCATCTCATACTGGTCAGACTAAATATTAGGATATTAGGTAGTCTCTGACTGGGAAAATTTATCAACTTGACATAGTGTCTGCTCTGGAGAGAGATTATCAGCAGTTGAGAAATCTGTTTCAGAAATATACATTTTATCGCCAGCTTTTATTTGAACAAAATGTGTTGTTCTACATTTTCTATTTTATGAATATTCGTGTCCTGAAAGGAACACTGTTAACCATAACTCAAGATTTCTCAAGTGTTAAATCATGTTTTCATTATACAAATTAATGTGCCGGTTGAGTATTTTTGCAACCTTGTTTGAACAATGCTATCTTTATTAATTAGGCTATGAAACTTTGTGAAATTAACTTGGCAGAGCTTCTAAATGTGAGCTATCTTTTGAAATTATGATCTGAGGCGAATTGGCATAATACAGTTCTTTGCCCTTGTACAAACCCCAGTTCTAAACAGAGAATGTTCATCTGATATATAATGACTGCAAATAAGAATGAGCCCTGTTCAAATTGCTGAGGCTATAAAAAGGCCTCTTTTAAATAGAATATGTCTGAATGAATATAGAAAGCTTATTTATGGTTTTGTGTTTTTTTTTAGTAAGATTTAAGCCATAGTTCTGCTGCTGTCATCATGGCCACCCATCACATATTTCACCTGCCAGTTAACTTCTTTGATGCCTAAGTAAAATAATTGGAGGCTTACTGCTTTTCTGTAGAATTCCTACGATTGTTAGTCAGTACCTCATAGAGCATTATGCTGTTAAGTCAGGCAAGCAAACGTGAACTGAATGCTGTCAGTATAGATTATTGAAGTTTAAGTTAAAAGGTTAGAAGTTTGACATTTCCATGGGTCTTATTCCTTATTGATGATTCATTCTCTGAAGAATACTTTTTCTTTCTTTTTCTATCAGAACATGTTCCATATATCCCATAGCTATGATTTCTTTGAACGGAAGAACTACAAAAGTCTTCAACACATGAGTCATATCTTTGCACTGCTCTTCTGTTTGTATTGTATTAGGAAGTCTTCTGTATATTGAATGAGCTGTCTTGAATAGGTCACGTTTAAAAATTACTGTCAGCAACATTTTTCCAGGGCTTGACTCACAACACAAACTATCTGCCTCAAACATTGCTAAAATCTGTATGGTTTTG